AGACAGAAAAACTAAAATCACTAATAGCCAAAGTGTATTTGTGTACAGAGACAGACATCCATCTGCGCTTCTGAGAAAAATTACTGAGGTGTTCAGTCATGAGAGAGAGTAGAATTAATCAGGGAAAAATAAGAATTTTACTGGTTGGGGTGCCTGGGTGGCTCAGTCAGTTAAACATCCACTCTTGGTTTCGGCTCAGGTTGTGATCTCAGGGTGGTGGGATCGAGCCCCGCGTAGGGCTCTGTCCTCAGCGCAGAGTCTGCTTGTCCCTCTCCCTTCCCCTCTGCTCATCTCTCAGCTCTAAATAAAATCTTTTTAAAAAAAGAGCTTTACTGGGAAACAAACATACAGATTCATGGAAAGGATTAAAGAGGGTTTGTTAAGTGGGGGAAGAAGTAAGAACAAAGGCACTGAGTTGATAGTAAAGGCAGCCTGGAGGAAAAGAAAGATTACAAATAGCAGTAGGTCCTGTGAACTCCAACCACAGCTACAAACCTAAGAACAGATCAAACTTGTATTCAGAATGCAGAGATCACAGTCTTGATTTAGTTTCTGATAAGCTTTTATGAACATACCAGTACAATCTAAGGCATCTATAAATATCAATCTCAATAATCAACACCTTGGTATATATTTATATCTATAGAGATATGTAAATATTTTAAAAATTAATTTTGAAGAACACATTTTTGAATGAAATACATTTAGCACAAAGTTTTTTTTAAATTTTTTAACAATCATTAGTGTTGAATTTCTGAAGAAAAAGGACTGAAATGGGATTTTTGAATTTATCGCTAGCTTCATAACTATTAGCTGACCTTGCATTTAGAGTTTAAGGTCAGTATCTCATTTTTATTTAATTAAACAAATGTTTTTGAAAGTCTACTGAGCTACTATTGAGCTCGATATGATAAAGAATCTAGTGATTAGATATCCCCAACCTTTGGAAGCCCACAATCAAATGGAATTAGTTTAGTTTGAGAGGCATCATGATGTCAAATGCTTTTCAATAAAATCCAAGCTAGCCTCCTTAATGGATGAGGAACTTTGAACATAACCTTTGTGTCACAACTCATTCACCTCTGAAGTAAATAAAATAATTTCTACACAGAAGAGTTACTGTGAGGATCAGAGCAACAGGACATAACAGAGCATAAGATAGTATGGTATCTATCTTATGTCCACTTCGCAGAAAAATATACCCATTATTATATAGTCCATTTGATCATCACAACAACCCATTCGGTTACAAGAAAGTAATTATCTATCTTACAAAAGAGGAAACAGATTAAAAGATTTAAGGGAATTGCCCAGCTTCCATAGTTGGACTGATATTTATATCTCCTGGCTCTCCAGTGCTCTTTTTTTTATTGATGTAACTAGTAAAAATGGATTACAATGCAAAATCCAATTAAGCTCCTCTCTATCCCCTGTCCCCAATAAAAAGTTCCAATTCTTTTTCCTGTGAGCAAGTCAAGTACCTCTGCTCAAGGAAGGATGTTGTATAGTGGTCTCCAAAGTGGGCACAAAAACTCCAAAGGTGTGCAAGATAATCCCACTGGGGAAGAAACTTTTAGGATATCTAATTATATTTCATTTATGTTTCTTAATAACTTTTCTGTATATATGAAATATTTTTTGAAGCATGAGTGCAGGAGTACCATACATCGCTTCTAAATAAATTAATATTCTTATATTAGAGATCTGTGCTCAAAAATGTTTTCTTGAAAGGAGTGCGTTGTTTAAAACATTTGGAGGTTACCAGCATAGAGAACTATGTTTAAGGGCACAACTGAGATAGTCCTAAATTTTTTCTCAATGAATTAGTGGCCATTAGAGGACTAGTCAGAGAAATGTTATTTTGATACTATTATGATGACCACATTCTTATGTTCAGGCTAATAAGAAGACATAGGATACACATTATCCTTAATTTTAGCGTATCACAAATTGAAGAAACTATGAGCTTTCTCTTTTTAAACAGTTCCAGAAAAATGAGAATTTTCCCCATCTGCAAGAACTGTGTTTTCATTGGTTTCCTGCCATGGCATGCTCTTATTATCATCTTCCTGATCAATCCAAACTTCTAGTATTGTGGCTTAAGTAAGTCTTCCTTCCTTATCTTTCCCATGAAGATCATGTATTTTTAATGGGTTCTTGACCTGGAATCCATGGGCTTTCTGGAATTGTATTTAAAATAGTATATGTTGGCACCTTTTCCTAGGGGCAAAATTCCTTAAATTCTTAAAAGTGCCCCTGTCACAAAACAGCTAAGAAACACCTCTAAACGTGTGATCCCCTTACAGACTAGGTTACTCCTTGGTTATATTTTCTCTAGCTTAAATGTTTTGAGTTCCTTCAGCAAAGACCCCGCTTAATGTTCTGCAGAACATCCCAACTTCCTCTAGCCCATTTTCTTTAAAGATAACCTTTTATTACCCCTGACTCACCCTCACTTTCAACGGTTCCCTTGCTGCTGCTTGCCTAGAAATCTCACTATTTTCCTTAACTTTTTCTCCCAGCTTTTATTTACTAGCACTGTAGCCCTGTGGCTCTCCTTTGAGCCGTATTAACAGTTGACCCTTGAACAATGCAGAGGGGTTAGAGGTGCTAACCCTCCTGCACAGCTGAAAATTGCATATCACTTTTGACTCCAGAAAAATTTAAGTACTAATAGCCCGCTGTTGACCAGAGGCCTTGCCAGTAACATAAACGGTCATTTAACATATACTTTATATGTTATATGTATTATATACTGTATCCTTATAATAAAGTAAGCTAGAGAAAAGAAAATGATATTGAGAAAATCATCAGGAAGAAAAAATACATATACAACACTGTACTGCATGTATTAAAAAAAAAAAATCCGAATGTAAGTGGGCCCGCACAGTTCAAACCCATGCTGTTTAAGGGTCAACTGTACTTATGGACTTAAAACTGATCTTACTATGTTAATAAGAATATGACAAATAATGAAATGGAAGGAGAATGAGTCTAATCTTTAGTGTAAACCAGGTATTTTATACGTTACCTCTTTAATCCTTGAAACCACCCTATAAGTCGACATTATTATTGTCCTCTTGCTCTCCTCGACATACAAGTAAAAGATACGTTGCTATGAATTCAAGTGGAAACACAAGCTAATTTGATCAGAAATATTTATACCTACAGTTTATTCTTTCCATTTCAAAGCATGCTTTCTAAGAAAAGGTAGAGTAGCAATCAGGTAAGGGAGTCATCCCTCCTTACTATAAACTAAGCCTCTTGAAGGTAGGGTCTTTGTGTTATGTTAAATTCTCTAGAAGTCCATATGATGTTTGGTGCATAGGAGACACACAATAAACATTGCTTGAATGAATAAATTAATAATTGAGTACCTGTTGTGTCCCAGGCATAGTACCTTGGGTAGCGAGTCGTATTTTTTCCATTTTATAGTTTGAGAAAATTGAATCTCAAGGAGGTAGGATAACTTGTACAAGATCACAAGCTGTTTAAGTGGCAAAACCATTAGGTAAAGACATATTTTACTGACTCTCTAAAATCCTTGTTCTTTCTGTTAACCATACCAATGGAATACCTTCTTTAAATATTTTTTAAAACCCCAATATCAGAAACAGTTATTATAAATACTTTGATAGATATTTAATGAATAACCAAATTTAAATTACAAATCAGAAATTTTGTTTTCCCAATTCCAGTTTCCTGGCAAAGTGTAACTATGTGGATAACCTGTTGTAACAAGATAGAATTCACTTTAAAAGCATAAAGGAGGAACAAAAAATATTCTAATGGAGCTGCCAAATTTACTAATACATGTTTAACACCCATAACAGAATGTAAGCTACCATGTCTTTGCAAAAAAACCGGAATGTGCTATTACAGATATTTTCACATACACAATTTTTCTGTTAATAAATCTTAAGAAAATATATCCTATTATCATTATTACACATTTCCTATGACATTTCTTGAAACAATTTTTTCTACTTTGTTAGTATTAAAATTTCATAAAATTTGACCTAACTTAATTATTTCCTTTTTCATTAGTAACAGGCACTTTCATGTTTATTTCTCTCATTAATTTCAAATTCTCTGTAATTGGTATTTTAAAAACACTGATTTTAACTAATTATAAGTTTTCATTTTTACATTTAAAAAAATACGAAATGCTTTTTGCATTTTCTTAGAGTGAATGTATTTATGTAGCTTTGTGTACATATTACCCACACTGCACCTACATATTAGGTTTTCAAGTCACCATGTTAATGTCTTAGAATATATAACTATGCATAATGCTAAACAGTATCAATTTTATCATTTTCATAATTTTTTACAAAAGTTTACTATTAAAAGATAATTTTATCATTATTTGTAAACTTCAAATAACTGAGAGTAGGAGCAAAATGCCTATTTTGCATAACTCATAGTATGTTATCTTAATGATACACGTCATCGTGGAAGCATACTAGTAAATTGCAGAAAAAATATAGGAAACATTTTATCTTCTAAGCTGAAATCTTCTGTAATGTTTAAATAAATTCTTTGGAAATGTAGCTTATTAAATTTTCTTACATTACTAACAACATTAGAATGTTATATACAATACAGATATATATACATGTATGTGTTTAAGCCATACGTTGTCTTTAAATTGTGCAAAATTGGCATATTTCTGAGCTCAAGGAAGAGGGTTTTGTTTGGTTTTTTTTAAGATTTTATTTATTTATTTGACAGAGACACAGCTAGAGAGGGAACAGAAGCAGGGGGAGTGGGAGAGGGAGAAGCAGGCTTCCCGATGCAGAGCTCCATCCCAGGAACTGGGGTCATAACCTGAGCAGAAGGCAGACGCTTGATGACTGAGCCACCCAGGTGCCCCAAGGAAGAGGGTTTAATAGCAACAGAGACAAGGAGGCCCTTGTCACATCACATCAAATCACCATGAAATTACTTTTATGTTAAGACAGAAACTGCTAGTTTAACATTATCATCTATGGACTTACCTGGTATTCTGACCTCTTGACTAACAAAAACCCTTCAAAGTACAAAGGTAGAGCAGTAATCTTTAACCTTTCTTGGAAGATCCTTCGAGGGGCTGGTTTCGGGGGCTTCTCAGCCATCATACCCTCTCGGTGTGTGGTTTGATTTCAACTATACCCAGGCTCAAACAAAATGAGATCTCCTTTGTGTGAGAGGAAAAAGCAACTGTTCAAAGAGGAAGTCCCAACTCGATATTTAACCACCAACAGTACACACACACACACACACACACACACACATGCACACACATACACACTTTTTTTTCCTTTACTTTTTGTGAGGTGAGAAAGAACAGGCATTGACCAAATTTGAAAGGGCAATCTCTGGGTAAATTTAGAATTACTTAGGATTACAGTAGCAAAATAAACAGAAGATTAACATCACCAGGGGATGAAAGGAACCAATGTGGTGATTATGGACTTTGGAGGAGTCATCAAGGTCACATTTGTTTTCTTCCACCTTTTTTTATTTATCGCTTTCCATTTTCATGCCTAGAAGACATGACTTGAATTAACTCCACTTCATTAAAAATCACTTCACAGGATAATTTTATTAGTACTACTTGTGTTATAAATCTTTTAGGACTGAGCTTTGCTTACATTTTTTTTGAAAACTGGAGTTCTTTATCCCACACCCATTTTGATGGTCCACTAACTACAAACCATAGTTATGGGAACATGGGATTTTTTACTTTTTTGTCAATAAGAATTTTTGAGTTTGTGGGTTACCAGTTGATGTTCAGCAAAATCTGTCTGACAGAGAAAGCTATAATATTTAAAATTTTTGTTCTTGTATGCTTTCTGAGTTGTGGATCACTGATGCTATGGTGCTTAGATGGGGGTCTCTACAGTTATCTAGTGAGATTTAGAGAGCTACACTGGGGCCAAAATGCATTCAGTAGCTGCATGTGGAAAAGGGTCCGTGAGAGACAGGATTTGGCCCAGCACTGTGCAAGGAGTGATGGGAGAAGGGAACCATGGAAGGAATACTGGTATGTTTCACAGGGATCCTGTGAAGTTCCACCATTTCTTATTTCACCCTCTGTATTTAAGATTTATTCTAGATTTAGTATAGCCCAGGCCTGAGCATTCTCCCCAATTAGACCAGTTGATTCTTAGAAATCAAAATGGGACAGGAATCTCCAGTTTGTTCCTCCTTTCCTAATGGAGACATTACATGGTTTTCTCTGCCACTACGGGTTCCATTGAATATGTGCAGCCAAAGTGTCTACAAAGTGAAGTATAACAATACAGACAGATTATCAGTAAACTAGAGGAGAGTGTTTAATGCATCAATAAAATGAAAATGGTTTGAAACAGATATTGGGAGTTGAAGATTCAAAATTACTCCTTTGCTTTTATATTATCTCAAGACCTGCTTCCTATTATTACTCAAACCTTCTAATATAAACCTTCAATATAAGTTGAGCTTATTTTTTTGAGACAAGACCATGCTATTTTTTAGTTTCAATGTAATAGGAAAATGAATTGAATGACAAAGGAAAACCTCCTGATTTGATAAATGACCTCATCCACCTTCTTGGCAGCTGGTAGCTGGTGTAACAGGGAGGAAAGGAAAGGAGGGATAAGGACTGAGAATGGAAAGAAAAAGGGAAGTGAGGCAGGATGCTGCGAGCTAGAAGTAGTTGGAATATGAGAAAGCAGTCACTGGCTTCATGGTCAGAGAGTTTCATGGGAGAAAAGAATGCTTCTACAAAAAGGTAAACATAGCAATATTTCTGAGAAATAATCATCTAGTTAATTATGTCTCTCTTACCTTTAAAAGAATAAGCAAAATTAAAGAAAAACCAGTTTATCAGCCTAAGTTGCTTTGGTTTGCTGATTTGCAAGTCACATTAATAGTTAACATACCAGTGCTCAAATTATGTCTTCCGAGAAAAACAACTCCAAGGTGGCAAAAATCCTGCTGAAACATGATTAGCCAGTTAGATCTGTCCATAGTTTCCAACTGCATCATTACAATGGAAATGCTTTTAGAGATATCTCAGATTTTAGGTGGTGAATAATGGATTTGTAGGTAAGGAATCATAGTAGAAAAAGTGTTTGGGTGTAGAGAGAAAAGCCAATTTTGTTTTAACCGGCTCAGAGACCTTGAACAAACCATTTAACTTATCTGGGCTCACAGCTTCTTCCCTTCTTGTCTCCAGAGTAGCAATACATTTCTCAGTTGTCTACTTTTCACACTTTTTCTTCTCTGACTCATTTAAAATGCAGTCTAATCAAGTCACTCCCCGGCTTAAAACACTTTGATGGATTCTCACTACTACACACTCACTAAGTCCAATTATTATAGCCATCATCAGTATCTGTACCACAGGAATTTGTTGTACATCAGGTACATGGCTAATACAATTCAACAACTTTGAATGGAAGATTAACTCATATAACACCAAAATCTCAGGGCTCTTTCGAGTCATTTATGTTATAATGCAATTCAAATGAATGAATGCACATTTTTACAACAGTTAAGGATCTCTAAAGTACTTTATTATCCACTTATCAGAATTGATTCAATCAGTAAGTCTGTAAAGGAGCCCCCAAACCCTCTCCTGTACTTCCAAATTTCTGACCTTTGTTTTACTTAATGTTTATTGATGCTTTTTGCCATTTTCATCACAATCCATTGCAGTAAATTTTGAAGATGTTTGAATTGAATACATTTACATTTACGATCCATAACTGAATACATCTTTAATTTTAATGACTATGTGGAATACTTTGTGCCATGCTGAGTCATTATTATTAAAAAAATATTTCTACTAGGTCTTTTGGGACTAAAAAAAAAAAAGGCGAGGAATCACTGTTGTAGAAGTGATATTAGTAGCTCTGTCAGAGTGGTTTAATTTGCTAACACAATTTTTAGTACAAAGAGTTGCATCTAGGATATAAGAGTTTTTCTAGCTATATGTTCTCACTATTTATGCAGTGTAGGGTGTAATTTATATGACTGAGAAATATTTCTTGGATGTCACATAGATACAGGACACATGCTAGTTTCTAAATAACATAAGTCATAGTATAATGGTAGCTTTAATAAAAACTCAAAACTCCAGATAGGATGATAGTTTTGGGGGAAGAGCAATAATGAATTTGGTTTTAACCACATCAAGCTCAATATATAGAAATGTTCGGTCTGCATTTTTGTTCCTTTTCACTTCATTTAAGATCCACTACTGCTGTTTTATGGGATAAGGTAGATTGGTGCTCAATATCCATTCCAGCCCCTTCCAGTGTGCCGTTCTTAACTGCAGAGGCTGAAAAGCTAAAAACGACATATCCAGACTTTTCTGCAGCTGGAGCTGGGATGCATTCCATATTAGCAAGGAAGAACAGAGTCAGAATTTATTCTTTTTTTTTTTTTAAAGATTTTATTTATTTATTTGAGAGAGAGAGAATGAGAGATAGAGAGCACGAGAGGGGGGAGGGTCAGAGGGAGAAGCAGACTCCCTGCTGAGCAGGGAGCCCGATGTGGGACTCGATCCCGCGACTCCAGGATCATGACCTGAGCCGAAGGCAGTCACTTAACCAACTGAGCCACCCAGGCGCCCTCAGAATTTATTCTTAATTTGGCTTTTTTTTTTTTTCTAGAGGGAAGCATGGTCGGGAGACATCTCATTTTTCTGGGGTAATATTATCAGAAGTCCCAGTATCCAACCTCTGGTTTCATGGTGGTGATAGTCAAAGCATGGAACATCAGTTTTCTGATACCTATCATGACAGGTATGGTGTGTTTCTAGAGCCAGAAGCAATAAAGGAGGCTTCCTGCTCATGGAGACATCTTATTTGTCGTGTCTTCCTAGACATGGCAGTTTTGTAACTGCAGTGACTTCCTGATTAAGCAGTATCACTATGGTTCTGGAGACTCCGGCATCAGCATCAGCTTCCCAAGTCTTCAATTTGCAGCAGCTGGCTTTTGGTGGTTCACTTCCTAGTGTGTCTTTGGGAATCATTCCTGAAAGCCCCAAATACATTATTTCTCCATCCCGCCCCAACAATTCTGTAAACCAATAAATGCCTATTAGTAGTTCCCCTTTTTGGCCTCAATTAGCTGTTATGAATTAGATTCTATAGAATTGACCCCTGATCTATATAGTTCTGCACAGTCTATGGGAAGAAGTGAAAAATTATGTTAACATTGAAGGTGCTCCATAATCTAGTTCCATTTTGCAAACATGAACACTCTATGATACCTGACAATTTTTCTCTGTGACAACAGCACGTCATTTCTGCTTCATGTCTTTGGTTGCAGTTTATTTTCCTACTTCTCTCACCCCTTATATCTCTTACGGCTAGGTATTGTCTGCAAGCTACAGTGTGGGCACTTTTTTTATGAATCTCTACAGGCACTTGAATTGACAAACATATATCATGTTCTATAAATACTTAAAATAATTTATTTTTCTTCATAAAAGGAAAACTTACATAAGTTTTAAGTCTTTAGGCATAAAGAAGAAAATGAAAATCACATGCTATTCCACCATCCACCATGAGCACTGTTTGGATAGGTACCATTACTTTTTTGGCACATTTTCTCTAGTTGTGTGTGTTTATATAATCAGATTAGCACATGCTGTTTGATGAACTGCATTTTTCATATAGTGTATCTACAGCACATTTCCATGTCAATAAATATTAACATTCATTATTTAAATTTTTGCCTAGTACCACCAAAGTAATATATGTCTTTGCAAGGTTAAAATTGTAACGCAGAAAGTATATTATTAAGCTTGTGATTATTGATTGTTTTTTTAGTTTATTTCTTTTTTTTAAATTGAAGGATGATTGACATGTTACATTAGTCAGGTGTACAACATAGTGAATCTAAATTAAATGTGTTTTAAATGACAAAAGCTCCTTTTTAAGAATTATGCTGACCAGAAGTAAACTATAGGCTACAAAATGGAGATCCAGAGAATAGTCTATTTGTTGTGTTCCTCTATTTATTTATTTAAAAATTTTTTGTAAGTAAACTCTATCTCCAAGGTGGGGTTCTAACTCTCAACTCTGAGATCTAGAGTCACATATTCTACCTACCCAACCAGCCTCACTGGTTGTGTTCTTGTTAAGAGTAACAATGTATATCATAATAGAATTCAGTTGCAACTAAGAAGCAAACACGGCACAGAGGTAACTGTAAAGCTTTTTACACAGCACTAAAATTAAGAACTCATGGGGACCTTTACTCAACGCATAGTATAATTGCTTTTTTCGTGTGTGTGAACGTTGCTGCCACCTACCTGCATATTGCAAGCACACTTTACTAATGTGGACATTAGAGTCTTAGAGCCTTCCTATCTGAGGATAATTTTGTCAGAAAAGGCTACTTAGGGCGCCTGGGTGGCTCAGTTGGTTAAGCGACTGCCTTCGGCTCAGGTCATGATCCTGGAGTCCTGGGATCGAGTCCCACATCGGGCTTCCTGCTCAGCAGGGAGTCTGCTTCTCCCTCTGACCCTCTTCCCTCTTGTGCTTTCTATCTCTCATTCTCTCTCTCTCTCAAATAAATAAATAAAATCTTAAAAAAAAAAAAAGAAAAGGCTACTTAAAGGCTACTTAACACATGGATAACATTTGATAGTAAGGAATTTTAAAAACTGAAATATTACATTAAAAAATACACTCCAAGAAATAAACTACAAAATTATACAAATAAGTTTACTTTAGCACATTTTAAGTTATAATTGCAATGTCATAATTTTTACAAATTGATTTTTGGAGTGTAATTTTTTCTGACAAAATTCTCTTACAGTAATTTCCTAACATTTTCATTTTTGACTTTTGCAGAATATTTTGTTTTTGCAAAAATTCTGAGGACATCTGCAATTTTTTTAAAGATTTTATTTATTATATGACAGAGAGAGACACAGCTAGAGAGGGAACACAAGCAGGGTAAGTGAGAGAGGGAGAAGCAGGCTTCCCGCAGAGCAGGGAGCCTGATGCGGGGCTCCCTCCCAGGATCCTGGGATCATGACCTGATCCGAAGGCAGACGCTTAAGGACTAAGCCACCCAGGTGCCCCAAAGACCTGCAATTTTATTAATGCCACTTTGCCCTATCATTTTACCATGAAAAGTTTCAAACATACAGAGAAGCTAAAAGAGCAGTATTAATAAACACCTACACATCTACCATCTAGTTTCAGTAATTATTAACATTTTGCCATATTTGCTTTAACTATATCTCTATCTTCTTTTTTAAGATTTAATTTTTTTAAGTAATCTCTACAATGAAACTGGGGCTCAAACTTACAACCCTGAGATCAAGAGTCACATGTTCCACTGACTGAGCCAACCAGGAACCCCTCTTTTTTTAAACTGAACCAATTTAAAGTACTTACAAACATCTCATTTTACCCCTCAATACTTAAATATGTATATCCTTATCCTAAAAGAATAAGGGCATTCTCAACGCAATGGCATTATAATATCTAAGAAAATTTTACATTTCCCTGTCATTTAATAATCACTATTTTAGTTTTCTACTTTTTAATGCTCTGTATGGCTTCTTCGTTTTGAATCAGACTGGCCCTAATTCACACATTACATTTGGCTGGTACCTCTCTTTCTCTCTCTACTGGCCTGACCCCCTGAGCTTGCACAGATGAATCATAAAGTGCCAGAGGCAACCTCAGTTCCATTATAATGTTAAAATCCCTTCTGAATATTCATCCCAAATCCTAATAAGAGGAGCCTGCTTTCCCTTGTTTGGGAGACACTGTTTTGGAAATTAATCCCTGTGATCTCGTTTGTACAAATAAAATTGACACTGTGAGGCGACTCTTCCTGGGGTAACCTGACTATAACTCACCAAGGAGTGGGCCTACTTTGGTTTGTTAACACTTTTTCTAACGTCCTTAATTTTTTAAGTCAAGTTTATTGAGGTGTGATTTACAGCAAAAGTCATCCTGAGAGTTTTGACACAGTTCTGAGAGTTTTGACAAAAACATAAGATCATCATAATCAAGACATAGACTATTTCCACCATCTTAAAAGTTCCCTCATGGCCTCTGTTGTCAGCGTCTTCAATCCCCAACTTCATCTCCTGGCAGCTACTGGTCTAATTTCTATTTGTATAGTTTTATGTAGGCAAATATAGGGAATCATACAGCAGGTTGTCTTTTATGTCTGGCCTCTTTTACTTAGTATAGTGCTTTTGAGATTCATCTGAGTTGTTGCCTGTATCAGTAGTTTGTTCTTATTGCTGAGGAATATTCTGCTGTATGGAGGTACCACAGTTTGTTTATTTACCAGTTGATGGGCATATAACCAGTTTGGGTTTATTATGAATAAAGCAAATTTTAAGTTTTAATAGCAATTGTGTTACTATTTCTAGAACAAATTCATTTTTAGAGTGCCATTTTTAATGTCTAAAATATTCTTTAAAATCGTTTTAACAATTACCAATTTAAAATCTACATAAAATCCTAAGTAACTAAACGTGTCTACTACCCTTTCAAGTTAAATTTCTGGATACTTTATTTCCCATATACCCATCTAATATACATACTTCCATAGACTGATACACACACACACACACACACACACACACACACATACATACTCCTTGCCTAGGTTTCAGTAGTTGTGATAGAAAACTTCAAGATTTAGTCAGTTACCAGAGAAGCTCATAAGGAGTGATCTGGATGTATTTTGGGGGGCAGTGGGCCTATAATGACAAATCTGGGTTTTATAAACATTAATTAATTAACTAGCAACCCTATTTTTGGATGCTAAAAACATGGTGGAGCTATTAAATAATAGGACAGAGGCAGAGGGAACTAAAAAATTTGTTTGGGAATGAAAGGAGGAGTCTCCACAACTTTGGTTTTCATAAAAGTGCTCCTCCATTTTCTCTGTGGAACAGACCAGTTCATCACCAATACCCTTTGTGCCCTACATTTTACACCAGGTCAAGTATCTCAAAATACCTCTGAGAGTCACTGTCTCCAGTGGAAATCATTTTATATGTAGAACTTTTACATCTGTGATTGTGCTTGCTAAAATTTCTCACTGAGAGGTAAAAAAAAAGTGTAGTGATTAAGTCCTCAGTTCTAGAGTCCGGACAGCAGGCTTCATCCCCAGTTCTGCCCTTTAATGGTAGTGCAATTTGGGGCAGGTTACTTAAGCACTGTCCCAGTTCTGTTGTCAGTAAAATGGGGATATTAGTCGTCTTCCCTTAATAAGAATGTTCTAAGAATTAAATAAGTTACTGCATGGAGAGCATTAAGAAAAAAACTTGGCATATAGTGTGAATTGAATAAATGATAGTTTTTATTATAATCTGTTCCAAATGTGACAGCATCAAATTATATTATGTAGTCTGATTGGCAAAACTTCTGCTAGAGCAAGTAAAAAACTCCATAATAATACTAATAATACATAATAATACTAAATAATAATTATTTATTGAATTCTTACTATGTTCCAGGAATTTCACCTAGATATTAAAAGGAATTAATCCAATATCTCAGCAATTTTACAGACATATTACAGACAAGGGATTTGAGAAAGAAATAGTTTAACTTGCCCACTATGGCAGAATTTGTGAAGTAGAATGGAATACAGCCTGATTGCAGAGTTAATATATAACCCCTCTTCCCTACCAAAAGTAAATAAATAAAAAACCCTCAGTAGGTGATAACATTTGTTAAATCATTAAAAGTTTAAAAAGTTTATTAGCTCAACTCTTTTTTTTTTTTAAGATTTTATTTATTAGAGAGAGAATGAGAGATAGAGAGCACGAGAGGGAAGAGGGTCAGAGGGAGAAGCAGACTCCCCGCCGAGCAGGGAGCCCGACGTGGGACTCGATCCCGGGACTCCAGGATCATGACCTGAGCCGAAAGCAGTCGCTCAACCAACTGAACCCCCCAGGCGCCCTATTAGCTCAACTCTTGACTAATGAATTTATTCAATAAGTATTTTCTGTTTAAAATTCTCTGCAAATTTTTATTAAATCACAAAAAATAGACACAAGTTTCATAGAATCATAAAATGGTCAAGTTTTCAGAGGATCTAATTTAGCTCTCCCATTATATAACTATATTAAGGAAACACCCAGAATGGTGCCGCAAATTGTCCTAGATGACATTGCTAATGGCTGAGTAAATTCAAGACTCCTGATAAAGACTCCCTTCAGGATATTATACCTAAATGACAGATATTTACCTAGGTCATTTTGTTGGCAATGCTTCATGAAAATATTATCTACATATCTGAATAAAGAATACATCGTCATCATCATTATATTATTATGACTTTCAGAGTTGATGCATAGATGGGCGGGGGTGGTTGACAAGTCTGCATAGTGAAATATTTCTCGTCAAACAACTTCTGCAATTTCTACTTCTTATCCTTCCAAGTATTATTTTTTACTGTATAATAGAACCCTTCACAAGTCTTACATTGGGCTCAAGGGCAAAGGCTGCTCTCGAAACGATCTCTAGCTAAGTAAAACTCCAGCTTTTTTTTTTTTTTAAAGATTTTATTTATTCATGAGAGAT